GAAGAAGTATTGACATATGCTATCTCATGCATGAGCCTAGAAAATATTATGTTAAGTGAAAAAAGTCAGACACAAAAGACCATATATTGTGTGATTCCATTTCTATGACATGTCTAGAACAGGCAAATCCATAGAGCTAGAAAGTAAATTAATGCTGGGGGATGATAGACCTGGGAAGGTGATGGCTACTAGCAAGGGGGTTTCTTTTTAGGATAATAAAATATTCTAAAAGCCATTGAGTTTTACTGCACAGCTTTGTGAATATACTAAAAGCAACTGCCTTGTATACTTTTTTTTTTTTTAATTTTTTAAGCCGAAACCAGTTTGGCTCGGTGGATGGAGCGTCAGCTTGCAGACTGAAAGGTCCCAGGTTCGATTCCGGTCAAGGGCATGTGCCTGGGTTGCGGGCAAATCCCCAGTAGGGGATGTGCAGGAGGCGGCTGATCGATGTTTCTCTCTCATCGATGTTTCTAACTCTCTATCTCTCTCCCTTCCTCTCTGTAAAAAATCAATAAAATATAATAAAAAAAATAAAAACATATATTTTATTGATTTTTTACAGAGAGGAAGGGAGAGAGATAGAGTTAGAAACATCGATGGGAGAGAAACATCGATCAGCCGCCTCCTGCACATCTCCCACTGGGGATGTGCCCGCAACCCAGGTACATGCCCTTGACTGGAATCAAACCTGGGACCTTTCAGTCCGCAGGCTGACGCTCTATCCACTGAGCCAAACCGGTTTCGGCTGCCTTGTATACTTTAAATAAATAGTATAGTACATTAATTATAGCTCATAAAGTTGTTATGAAAAACAAAACAAAAAATCTTGGCATCCAAATTTTGAAATGAACTTATTCAGTATGAGGCTCCTGATAAGTTTTATTCTTAAAAAACAAAAAAGAAATTCAGAGACAAGATGGTGACTAAGTAAATGTGGTACTTGCATCCTATCACAACCACCTGAAATTTAGCTAAAGTGAAGTCCTATAGCTAAGTATATAAAGAAGAAGCCACAGACTGAAAGAAAGGGATGGAAAAGTTATTTCTTAAAAATGGAAACAAATAAACAAGCTGGTGTAGCAATGCTTATACCACAGAAAATAGACTTTAAAATAAAACCTATAATGCCTGGATACTATGGCTCAGCTGGTTGAACAACATCCCTTGCACTGAAAGGTCACCAGTTCAAATCCCAGTCAGGGAACATACTAGGTTGTGGGTTCAATCCCTGGTCGGGTTTCGAATGGGAAGCAACCCATCAATGCTTCTCTCTCTCCTTCTCCTTTCCTCTCTTTGTAAAATCAATAAAAACAACAACGACAAAAAGGCTGCCCTAGCCAGTGTGGTTCAGTTGGTTGGATGTTGTCTAAAAGGTTGCCGGTTCACTGAAAGGTTGCTGGTTCAGTTCCCTCTCTGAAATCAATAAAAATAAAAAAAAGTAAAAATAATTTCTTAAAAAAAAAAAAAAAAAATATATATATATATATATATATATATATATATGAAAATGGTGGAGAAATTTAAAAAAACAAAAACAAAAAACAAACAGACATAGGCTATAAGAGGCTGTAATGAAGGACCCAGCAATTTCACTTTTGGGTATTTATCTGAAGAAACTCAAAACACTAAAATGAAAAGACATGCATCTATATATAATCATTGCAGCATTATTTACAATAGCCAAGATATGGAAGCAACCTACGCATCTATCAACAGATGAATGGATAGCTCGGCTGGTATGGCTCAGTGGTTGAGCTTTGACCCATGAACCAAGAAGTCAGAGTTCGATTCCCAGTTGGGGCATATGCCCAGGTTACAGACTTAGTCCCTGGTGGGGCAGGACATGGCCAATTGATGATTCACTCTCATCAATGTTTCTATCTTTCTATACCTCTCCCTTCCTCTCTCTGAAATAAATTAAAAAATAGATGAATGAATAAAAAAGTGGTATATATATAAAATGAAATGATTCAACCATTAAAAAAAGAATGAAATCTTGCTATCTGCAACAACATGGATGGACCTAGAAGGTATTGTATTGAATGTAATAAGCCAGACAAAGAAAGACAAATGTCATATGTTTCACTTATATGTGGAATATAAAAAATAAAATAAATGAACAGGCAGACCAGAAACAGACTCAATAATACAGAGAACATTTTGACGATTGCCAGATGGTTGGGGGAATGAGTGAAAAAGGCGAAGGGAGAAGGAGCACAAATTGGGAGTTCAAATTAGTAGTTACAGAATAGACATGGGGACAAAAAGTATAGCACAGGAAATATAGTTAATGATATAGCAATAACTATGTATGATGTCAGATGTGTAGATGTGTACTAGATTTATTGAGGTAATCACTTTATAAGTTATATTATATAAATGTCTTATCACTGGGTTGTACACCTAAAACTAATATAATACTGTACACCAACTGTAATTAAAAATAATTAAAAAAACAAACCAAGCTCTGTACACTGAAAAGACTTAGACATAATAGTCAACCCATTAGTATGAACACTTGTTGGATCTAGACTGTGGTGTCCACATACAATTTCTCATGAAAAAGGAACCAGAGTTCCTTAGAGAAATGGCTGATTCCAAATTCAGAAAGCAAGAAAACTGTTAAAAACTACTGGAGTCTCATATCAAAAGGACTTAGGCTACCACTGGTTGAAGATGGAACGATATGAATCTCCATATTAATTACTGCAATGGATTGAAATGTATGAAGTATCTTAAAATCCATGAGTTCATAACGATATTCAAAATAAAGAAACGAACCTCACTGGTCACCTTTGGAAGTTGTCAAGGAACTATCTTTCTTTTAAAACCTAGTAAAGCAAAAAAAAAATATCCAGCATTTATTCTGCCTTTCCTATAAAAAATAGTACCTAGTGGTAACTAAATAGCTGATGAGTAGCTTCTCTTTATAGAAGTAAACCCAAGATAATAAATGAAGAAAGAATAATAGCTTATAACATCACCCTTTTGCAATTCATAATAAATTAAATGATCTAGGTAATGATTACAATGGCTGTTGGGATAGAACATTTTACTATTACCAATACTTCACCGTTCTTATACCCATGCTCTTTGCCATGTGACTCAGTGTGAAGTTCCTCGCAGCCATTAATGTTGGACTTGGTAATGTGACTTGCTCTGGCCAATGGAACGTGCACACATCTGACACGGTCCATTCCAAGTCTAGGCCATAAGAGGCATCTCATGTTTCTGCTTGCCCCTATTATACTTCTGCCATCACCACGAGAAGAATGTGCCCTAGTTATACTGGTCTGAGGCGGGAGAGAGAGAGGTGAAACAGATCTGCTTCTATCCTGAAACTTGGGAGCAATCCCATCTAAACCTGTATATCAAGCAACCCCTACCTGAATGGCAGATGCATGAGTAAGAACAAATGATTGTTTATCTGAGTTTGGGGCAGTTTGTTATTTCACATTATTGTGGTAATAGTTAAGTGACAGCCGGTAGTATCACAAAATGAAAGACAAGCAGATACTCTGGGTCCCCTGGTATAATATATCACTACCTAAAACTTAGTCTTCCAAAAAAAACCAAAATAGAAACAAAACAAATCCAAATCTGTCCAATTCTCTAACTACAAATTACAGGAAATTCAAGGGACTAGAAAAACACATTCACCACCACTAATGTGATATAGTCAGCATCTATGAAAAACTACAAGATAAATGACCCAGTTTCTTCAAATAAACTGAAAAGGGCTAGCTAAAAAAGAGATTGACAGGAAAACCTATAGATTAAGTGACTTCAAGGATTATTAACAAATAACAATGTGTGGATTTTACTTATATACTGATTCAAATGATCAGATTAGTATATTTTATAGAACTAGAGAAATTTAAAGACTGACTAGATATTTGTATAAAGGAATAAAATGGTAAGGGATTCATTGTTATTATTTTTTGGGTAATGTATCAGCATTATAGTTATATTTAAAATAAGAGCCTTTATCTTTTCAATATATTTCAATGTATTGAAATAATTATGATTGAAATATAATGATGCTGGGATTTACTTTAAAATAACCTGATGATAAAAAACATAATAAAAAAATAAAATAACCTGATGGAAGAGGAAGTATAGTTTTAACAAGATTGGCCATGAGTTGCTGTTACTATTCTTATGCACCATTCAGACTTGTTTGAATAGATGTGGGTTATGATTGCCAAGTTTGCCCAGCACAGTAGTTTTATCACTAACGTTGGACTTGCTGATGGAGTCCCATGGTAGTTTTAGTGTTAGACACAGTTTTTTCCACTATACACCTGTGCATTTTCTCTTTGGGTGACTGAATGAATGTTTAAGACATTTGTGTGCAAAGTTATTCTTTTTATGAACTCTTGTGCCCTGTCAATGCATATTGCTCTGTGACTCTAGTATATCTTACCTGTACTGATCAAACCTAAGTAAACATTTTTATTATAACTCCTCCAAAACAAAACAAAACAAACAAAACGATTGGCCATGAGTTGACTGTTGAGGCTGGATGATGATGGGTTCATGTAGGTTCATTACACTATACTCTGTATGTTTTTGGAACTTCCCATAATAAAGAGCTAAAAAGGGGGAAAAATAAAAATGAGCACTAGGGCCGAACCGGTTTGACTCAGTGAATAGAGCGTCGGCCTGCAGGCTGAAGGGTCCCAGGTTCGATACCGGTCAAGGGCATGTACCTTGGTTGTGGGCACATCCCCAGTGGGGGGCATGCAGGAGGCAGCTGATCGATCTCTCTCATCGATGTTTCTGGCTCTCTATCCTTCTCCCTTCTTCTCTGTAGAAAATCAATAAAATATTTAAAAAATAAATAAATAAAATAAAATGATGCAGCCACTTTGGAAAAAGTCTGGCAGTTCTTAAAAAATTAAAACAAACAAACAAAAACCCTCTAAAAAAAAAAGAGCACTAGGAAGTCAAATCATATGATCAGAGACACCAAGTAGCATTATATTTTCCCCACTTACCTGTTCTGTTCTTCCGTTTCTCTCTCTCTGCTTTTAGCTCCTCCATGGCTTGAGATTTTTTATCTAGTTTCTCATCCCGTTTGGAACGCCGTTCCTTGTTGTGGGATGTTACCTGGGAAGGGAAAGATATGTAGGATGGCTCTTTTTACCAACTGGCTATGACTGTCTATACCGGCCGTGGGCAAACTACGGCCCGTGGGCTGGATCCGGCCCGTCTGAAATGAATAAAACTAAAAAAAAAAAAAAAAAAAAGACCGTACCCTTTTATGTAATGATGTTTACTTTGAATTTATATTAGTTCACACAAGCACTCCATCCATGCTTTGGTTCCGGCCCTCCGGTCCAGTTTAAGAACCCATTGTGGCCCTCGAGTCAAAAAGTTTGCCCACCCCAGGTCTATACCCAACAATTAACTATTTAGTTCTTCACTGTGAATCTATATTGGCTATAGAAACGGAAACTTGTTTAAAGGGGAAGAGCATCCTCTTGTGGACAAAGAGGATAGAGCAGTAGAGTCAGCCCCCATTTTCCCTGCCTAATAAACAGAAAGCCTAAGAATTATAGGAATGAGCACTTTTTAAAATATATGTAAAATATATATACAGGGAGTCCTCGGGTTAGGTCGGACTCGATGTACGTCGTCTCATGGTTACGTCACCATCTCCCATTTATTTATATATATATATAAAAAGTTCCGTCATTTCTACATATGTGCTTTATGTTTTTTATTATTTATTTACCACAAGTAAAGATCAGGAATTGTTATCTTTTTTTTTTTCTACTGTTTCACTTCATTACTACTGTGTATGTACTCCATGTGAGTGACGTAGGTGCTTATGCAGGTGGGTTCCGACTTACAGCAAAAATCACATTACATCGCGCCATAGGAACGGATCTCCGACATAACCTGAGGACCTACTGTACATATATATTTTTATTGTTGACAGTATTACAGATGTCCCCCATCCTGCCCTCCCTTTTCCCATCTCTTCCCAGCCCCTGCCCTACCCCAGGCCTTCACCACACTATTGTCTGTGTCCATGGGCTATGCCATGCATGTATATAAATTCTTTGATTAATCTCTTCCCGGCCTCCCCAACCCCCTCCCCTCTGAGATCTGTCAGTCTGTTCCACACACCCATGCCTCTGGACCTATTTTGTTCCTCAGGTTATTTTGTTCATTAGATCAGGAATAAGCACTTTCAAGGACATCCTAGATCATAGCCAATATTTGCTGATATTATCAACAAAGCTTTTTGTGACGAATGCAGAGATGACTAATTTTCCCAGCTACTTTTACAACCAAGTACAGGATGACGTACACCTGACTGAGTAAACATAACTAACCAACTGGCTACCTTGGACAGGAGGATATTTACCAACTTTTCCTTAGAGGCTGTTCACACATCAGTTAAGCTGCTTTTTAAATGCAGACTTGAGTGAAGGATTCCTAAGGAATTAAACAGTGCAGCTAAGGGTGAAATGATATATCTAGAGAATGAAGACAGTATGTAATAGTCATGCACTAACTGACTTAGGCTGATTAATATAAACACACGAACTCAAAACAGATTTTATTCTTCCGATAATGAGGTCCATTGAATCTCCTACCTGAGATTCTTGAATCTGTGTCAGCTTTTTCTTTTCTTGCTCCTCTTCTTGCTTTTTCTTTTTTTCTTTCTTTTCTTTCTTTTTGGCTGTTTTTAGTTTTTTCTTAATTTCAAATCTGATTAAAAGATATTTATTTGTTGTTTTAAGTTGCAATTAAATATTTGTAATGACTGATTTCTATTAGACAGGAGAAAGGAAGTAAGTAGGGGGGAGGAGTTAATAAACGTTTTCTGCTTCCTTTAAGAAACTCCAATGTACAAGTACCATAAAAAACATTGAATATAGCCCGGCTGGTGTGGCTCAGAGGTTGAGCATTGACCTATGAACCAGGAGGTCATGGTTCGATTTCTGGTCAGGGTACAAGCCCAGGTTGTGGGCTCGATCCCCAGTAGGGTGCATGCAGGAGGCGGCAGATCAATGATTCTCTCTCATCATTGATGTTTCCATTTCTTTCTCCCTCTTTCTTCTTCTATGAATAAAATATATATTTAAAAATATTGAATATAGTCTGGCTGGTTTGGCTCAGTGGATGGAGCGTCAGCCTGCAGACTGAAGAGTCCCGGATTTGATTTCTGGTCAAGGACACGTACCTCGGTTGCAGGCTTAATCCCCAGCCCTGGTGGCCCTGGTCGGGCCCAATGCAGGAGGCAACCAATCGATGTGTTATTTCTTACATCAATGTTTCACTCTTTCTATCTCTTCCCCTCCTTTCCTCTTTCTAAAAATCAGTGTAAAAATATCCTCGGAGAGGATTAACAACAATAATAATAATAATGATAAATCAAGTCTTAATTAATTAAATCCTATAGAGATAGGGCTTCAAATGTGAATTTTGGAAAATTATTTTATTATTTTATTTACTCATTAAGGAACTATAACCTTACCTTCTTTTCAACACCTCCCTCTTCTCAATGCGGTTGAAGAGTTCTTGCTCTCTTTCCTTCTCTGTCATCTGCTCCAGACGAGCCCTGTCCTCCTCATCCCCCATGAGGTCTTCCCCGTAGCCATCATGGAACTCTTCATCTTCAGAAGAGGAGTCAGAGTCTGAACTGGAGGAGGAGCTGTTGCTGTCAGAATCCGACACTTCACCTGCCACAAAGGGCGAACAGAAGATTAGGCTCTACTAGAGAAGACAGGCCACAGGTGACCAGCGTTAATCATCATTACTCCTTGGCTCTCCTAGGTAAAATGGCATATGGCCATCTCTGCTCCCTTGGGAACAGTTTTTGGCCTGCCTTTGGCAAATGCAAGCACAGGTTAGGGAAATTTAGGCTGGAATATAAACCAGCATGTTCTTTTTAATTCAAACTTTTTACTTTTGAAAAAATTGCAGACCTAAAGAAAAAAGTTGCAAGAATAAGTGATTCCCATACTTTTTTTTTCTTTAATCCTCATCTGAGGAACATCATAGATTGATGTTCAACCACTGAGCCATGCCAGCTGGCCATATATCTTTTAACTTAGGTTTACACATTGTCAACATTGCCAATTTACTCTCTACTTATATAAAATAATGAATATACATTTTTATTATTCATTTTGCTGAACTGAAAGTTGCAGAGTTTGTAACCCTTTATACCTAAACACTTCTCCTAGAAGACAGTCTTTTAGATAACCAATTATACAATTATCAAATTCAAGAAATTTAACATTGATGGAATACCTTTATCTAACACACTCCCTATTCAAATTTCACCAGTTGTTCTAACATAGTCCTTTATAGCCACTTTTCAGCCAAAGAGGGACCCAATCTAGGATCACACATTGCATTTGGTTGCCATTGCCATGTCTCTCTAGTAGCCTTTAATCTACAACAACCTTTTTTTTTTTTGTCTATCATGCCATTGAATTTTTGAGAAGTATAAGTCCAAATATTATCTAACAGAATTTTATGAGGTAATAAATATTCTTTATCTGAGCTGTAGCCACATGTGGCTGCTGAGCAACTGAAATGTGGCTACTGCAACTGAGACACTCAATTTTTAAGTTTTAATTAATTCAAACTTAAATAGCCAGTTATCAAATATCCCCAATTTCAGTCAGTTGGTTTCATCAAGCACTATCCAGGTTATGAATTTTTGGCAACAATACTCCCTAAGTCAGTGGTTCTCAACCTGTGGGTCGCCAACCTGTGGGTTACGACCCCTTTGGGGGTCAAATGACCCTTTCACAGGGGTCGCCTAAGACCATCGGAAAACACATATATAATTACATTTTTTTAAAATATATTTTATTGATTTTTCACAGAGAGGAAGGGAGAGAGATAGAGAGTTAGAAACATCAATGAGAAAGAAACATCGATCAGCTGCCTCCTGCACATCTCCCACTGGGGATGCGCCTGAAACCCAGGTACATGCCCTTGACTGGAATCGAACCTGGGACCTTCCAGTCCGCAGGCCGACGCTCTATCCACTGAGCCAAACCGGTTTTGGCTACATATTGTTTTTGTGATTAATCACTATGCTTTAATTATGTTCAATTTGTAACAATGAAAATACATCCTGCATATCAGATATTTACATGACGATTCATAACAGTAGCAAAATTACAGTTATGAAGTAGCAACGAAAATAATTTTATGGTTGGGGGTCACCACAACATTAGGAACTGTATTAAAGGGTCACGGCACTAGGAAGGTTGAAAACCACTATCCTAAGTGATTGTGTCCTTTTCAAAGTATCACATCAGGAAGCACCTGATACCATTTTGTCCAATTACTAGTGATATTAATTTGGATTTTTGGTTAAGGTAGTATCCCATAGATTTCTCCATTGTAAAGGCACTTTTTTCTTCTTTGTAGTTATTAAGTATAATGGGAGACGCTTTGAGACTGTAAACATCTTACTCCCAACAAACTCTCACCCAGTGGTTTAACAGTCATTAGTAACTCTTGAGTAAATCAATTATTACTGATGGCTGAAAAATGGTAATTCTTCTATCGCTTCTACATTTATTAGTTGACATAAAAAAATCAATGTTTTAGTGAGTTATTAAATTGATCAGTGAATTCCTAATACATTTTTTTACTCAGTTTTGTATTGGTTCAAGGATTTTCCTCCTCAGCCAGACCATGCATAAGAAAGAGGGAAGGGAAGGTCAGGGAAGTAAGGTGAAACTCTAATGCAGGTACTCCTCATGGGTTCCTGGATGGGGTTCACAGACCTCATTAATCTTCGGAACTGCATGTGTTTTTCTTTCTTCATTTAGATTCTCAAAGGCTCCATGACCACTGGAATGTTATGAGCTGCTGTAATACATGCACATTTACCTCCATTTCTGACCTGATAAGAGTGGGAGTTCATTCCCAGGGTTTGGGCTACTTGGCTCACCTTCCTCAGGGGCTGAGCTCTCAGCTGAACTGTCTTTGTCCGAACTGCCTGATGAAGCAGTTTTATTGGCCTGTTTCTTCATGGTTCCTTTCTTCTCTATTTTTCTGGCCTTTCCTTTCTTCTTATTTTTATTGCTCCCGAACGTCCACTACAAAGAGAAAAGAAATAGGGAAACTGAAAAAGAGACTTTCTTGGGAAAACCTGGAAGATTTAAAAGTTAAAAGTGACATTCACCAAAATTGTTTTGGACACAAAATAAATCTACTTTATGTGAAGATATGAATTTTTGAAATCTTGGTTAAAACTTAATAACTTATGGTTTGTAATTTCTTAGTGACAGTACAGAATTGATACAATAAAATTTAATTAATGCACTTTTTATCACAACAGAACTTTATGGCAAATCAACTGAGTTAACAAAAACTCAGTTGTACAGAAATCAACCCCTAGAATTACCACCCTCTCTGTTTCCTGTAGTAGAAAAGGCAGTAATTGCTGGGGGGTTGTACGTCTATATTCTCTGTTCAGCACACAGAGAATGGTTTAGTTCTGGAGTGGGTTCCAAGAAGGCAAGAAATAAAGCTTGTCAGCAAAAGAGAATTATAGAAAGCACAGCAAGAGAGGATGAGGACCATGCTTTAACAGGGTATCACGGGGACCAACTCCAAGGAGGCAGAAAGTAAAGTAGATAAGTGTGTGTGTGTATTTGTGTGCATCTATTACAAAAATGTACATAGCCATGGCTAAGTGGCTCAGTTGGTTGGAACATTGTCCCATGCACCAAAAGGTTGCATAATTGATTCCTAGTCAGGGCACCTAGGTTGAGAGTTTAATCCCCGGTCGAGGCATGTATGGGAGGCAACTGACTGATGTTTCTCTCTCACATGGACCTTTCTCTCTCTCTCTTCTCTCTCTCTCTCTCTCAAATCAATAAATATATCCTTGGGTGGGGGTAAAAAAAAAAATCTGCATATACAAGGTATCCAAAAAAACTTATGCACACTTTAACAGCTGATAACACAATTTTTATTTATTTATTTTATTAAAAATATTTCTTTATTGATTTCAGAGAGGAAGGAAGAGGGAGAGAGAGAGAGAGATAGATAGAAACATCAATGATGAGAGAGAATCATTGACAGGCTGCCTCCTGCATGCCCCCCACTGGGGATCAAGCCCACAACCCAGGTATGTGCCCTTGGCTGGAATCAAACCCAGGACCCTTCAGTCCGCAGGCCTATCCACTGAGCCAAACTGGCTAGGGCAGATAGCACAATTTTTAAATGAAATGTATTTTAATAAACAATTCCTTTATAATTATTCAAAGTGTATGTATACATTTTTTGGGACATATGTTTAAATTGAATCATAAATAGGAGATCTCATACATATAAACATACGGAAACTTCAATTGCTGATGTGGCTCAGTGGTTGAGCATCAATCTATGAACCAGAAGGTCATGGTTTGATTCCTGATCAAGGCACATGCTGGGGTTTCGGGCTTGATTCCCAGTGGCAAAGGCAGGGGGGTGGGGGGGGCATGCAGGAGGCAGCCAATCGATGATTCTCTCTCATCACTGATGTTTCTATTTCTCCTTTCTTCTCCGAAATCAATAAAAATCCTACATAATAAAAACTAATGTGCCAAGTGTCTGGTCGTCCATTCAACCAATCAAAGCGTGATATGCTAATGATATGCTAAGGCCACTCAACTGCTTGCTATGACGTGCACTGACCACCAGGGGGCAGACAATCGACTAGGTGACCAGTCACTATGACGTGCACTGACCACGAGGGGGCTGTTGACCAGTCGACCAGTAGGCTAGCTTGCTGCTGGAGTCCAGCAGATCAGGACTGAGCGAGATGGGCTGGACACGCCCTGGAGCCCTCCTGTGGTCCCTCCCACTTGCCAACCTCCCACATGCCTCCCTGGACCAATCATGAACCAGTGGGGTCCCTTGGCTTGGCCTGTGCCCTCTCACAATCCGGGACCCCTTGGGGGAGGTCGGAGAGCCAGTTTCGGCCCAATCCTACAGGCCAGGCCAAGGGACCCCACTGGTGCATGAATTCATGCACTGGGCCTCTAATATATATATTTAAAAGAACAGTCTTTGCTCCTTCTATAATGTGATGATAAGTTAACCTCCTACCTCAAAATGGCTAATATCAGAAGTAAATTTTTTTGTGTGGGTTTTGTTTTGTTTTTTTTGTGGGGGGTGAAAGGGGTAGTTCTGATGAGGTTTCCATTTTAGAAATATTCCATATGAGCTCTTCTAGTTTACTTTGATTAAATACTGTGAAAGAATGTTATTTTAATCTTCTGATTTAAATTTAATCTTAGTTATTTTCATTGCCACATTATTTTTGTACTCAAGAGCTAGGCAAAAGGGGCAAGTAAAAACAAAACAAGCACATGTTATAGAGCGCTATAAAGTGAATGATTTCTCTTTATAAGTTTATCTACTTCTCAAACTTAAACGTTTTAACTTAGATCATTATCTAGATAAAAATCCTAATGCTTCTCTCTTCTAAAGCCTAGTTCTCAACCATTTCAATTTTTTTTTACCTTTTTTTCATAGCTTTTCTTTTTTTAAATAATTTTTATTTTTCAATTACAGTTAACATACAGCATTATATTAGTTTTAGGTATATAACCCAGTGATAAGACATTTATATAACCTCCCAAATGATCACCCTGATAAATATAGTACCCACCTGACGTCATACATATTACAGTATTATTGATTATATTTCCCTATGCTGTACTTATCTTCCCCGTGACTATTCTGCAATTTCCTATTTGTTCTTAATCCCTTCACCTTTTTCACCTATCTCCCCAGCAATCTGGCAACCCTCAAATGTTTTCTGTATCATTGAGTCTGTTTCCAGTCTGTTTGTTCATTTATTTTGTTTTTTTAGGTTCCACATATAAGTGAAATCATATGGCATTTGTCTTTCTCTGCCTGACTTATCTCACTCAGCACCAATACATTCTAAGTCTATTCATGTTGTTGCAGATGGCAAGATTTCATTTTTTTTTTATGGTTGAGTTATATTTCATTGTATATATGTACCACTTTTTATCCATTCATCTACTGATGGACAATTAGGTTGCTTCCATATTTTGGCTATTCTAAATAATGTTGCAATGAACATATAGGTGCATGTCTTTTCAATTTGGCGTTTTGGGCTTCTTCAGATAAATACCAAGAAGTGGAATTGTTGGGTCCTTTGTTATCTTGTTATAGGTTTTGTTGTAAACTCTATTTTGACAGGTATAAATATTGCTACCTACCCCAGATTTTTTTTGTTTGTTTCCATGAAATATTTTTTCCATCTTTTTTTTTTTTTTCAGTCTGTGTGTTTTTCCATCTGAAGTGAGTCTATTTTAGACATATGTAAGGGACTTGTTATTCATTTAGCAACCCTATGTCTATTGATTGGTGCATTTAATCCTTTTGCATTTAAAGTAATTATTGATAGATATGTACTTATTGTCATTTTAATATTCCTTATTTTTATTTATTTTTTACTCTTCAAGAAGAACACGACCTCTTGCCCTAGCTGGTTTGGCTCAGTGGATAGAGCGTCAGCCTGTAGACTGAAGTCCCAGGTCTGTTTCTGGTCAAGGGCACATCCCCGGTTTGCAGGCTTGATCCCCAGTGAGGGACATGCAGAAGGCATCTGACCAGTGACTCTCTCTCCTCATTGTTTCTCCCTCCCTCTCCCTCTCCCTCTCCCTCTCCCTCTCCCTCTCCCTCTCCCTCTCCCTCTCCCTCTCCCTTCCCCTCTGAAACCAATAAAAATATATATTTTTAAAAAGAACACGACCTCTTTATTAAATCCTCACCTGCAGATATGTCTTTTTATCTTAATTTTTATTTATTCATTTTAGAGAGAGGAAAGGGATAGATCGAGAGAGGGAAAGATCAATTTGTTATTCCAGTTATTTATGCATTCATTGGCTGATTCTTGTATGTGCCCTGACTGGGGATCTAATCCTCAATCTTGGTGTACTGAGATGATGCTCTAAACCAAGCATGTCAAACTCAAAGCTCACAACAAATATTTGTGCAGTTATTCAATGTCTGGTAAGTTAATGTTCAAGAAAAAAATATTAATTTTTATTATTTTATGTTAACGATTACTCATTTATTTCAGCCCTTTGTATTCAGCATGTCTCTATCGAAATAAACCTATATTTCTATGAAAATTGTAACTTTTGTTATTTTGCAGTCCACATAAACTTAAACCTTATTTATTTGGCCCAGGTTAGCCTTTGAGTTTGACATGCTTGCTCTAAACAATTCAGCTACCCTGGTCAGAGCCCGGGAATGTTTCTCATTGATTTTTTTCTAAGAGAGCGAGAAACATCAATGTGAGAAACATCGATTGCTTGCCTCTCGCATGTGTCCTAACCGGGGACCGAACCCATGCAAGATTTTGGTGTCTAGGACGATTTTTGTTGTTGTTAATCCTCACCTGAGGACATTTTTTTCATTGATTTGTTGAGAGAGTGGAAAGGACGGGGAGGGAGGAGAGTGAGAAAGAGAGAGAGAGAGATACAGAGAGAAAGAGAAATATCGATGTAAGAGAGACACATTGATTGGCTGCTTTCTGCATGCGCCCCAACTGGGTTGGGCATTGAACCTGAAACGCAGGTACATGCCCTTGACTGAGAATCAAACCTGTGACCCTTCAGTGTATGTGGTGATGATTGAACCAACTGAACCACCCGACTAGGGCAAGAAGAGCCTTTAACACATTTCGTACCGCTCAGGAGTTCTCTCGTGTTTCACATGCCATCTGTTAAGGACCGCTCATGAGTGTTCTCGTTTTTCACGCCCATGGAAAAAGGAGCGAATCTAGATACTTATGTAAATTTTGTTTGGTCCCTCTTTATAGAGGAAAATGTTTTACGCAGTACCATATGTTAAAAAAGTACTAGGAACTTTGTTTGTTTTTGTAAATAAAAATGTTATAATTATTGAAAAACAACACCTAAAGTGCATTATGATGATTTAAATAACGTGCAGTTTGCCCAAAAACGTGCGGTCCCTGGCGTATGTCTTAGAGATTTCTATGAGGTACGCAATGTGTTAACACTTCTTGTAATACTGGTGTGGTGGTGGTGAACTTCTTTAGCTTTTT